AGGGACCATGTTGTCTTCGTGACAGACCCCTGGCACGGTGCATGGAAAACAGTAAATGCTAGGTAACTGTTGAACGAAAGGGATGAATGATTTGGGGTGCATTCATTGAGCATTTCCTGTATGTACTAGGCCCTTGTAATTCATGCTCCCATTTAATTCTGACAACCCTATGAAGTCAGTATTATCATCACAAAGTTCATGGTTGAGGAAACTGAGGCTCAGAGAGCTGATGTGACTTGCCGAAAGATGAACAGCTAATAAGTGGCTGAGTCAGAATTTGAAGCCAGCGGCTGCTTCCCTCAGAGCTCATGCATGAGAACACATTCTGTAAACCTCAGGGCCACACACATACTGGACGATGACAATGACAAGGATTTGCCCTTGTGTGGCCCAAGCCCTGCCTCCTTTGACCTGTCCTCCTGCTCTGCTCCAGCTCATAGACGTGCATGTGGACTCTGTAAATGAATAGTGGTGACCCCCTGCCCTCCTCTCCCCAGAACCAGGCTGAAGCACATTACAAAGGCCACAAACACGCCAGAAAACTCAAGGCTGTCGAAGCTGCCAAGAGCAAGCAGAGGCCGCAAACCCTGGCCCAGGACAGGGTGGTGTCCCCAACCCCAACTCTGGCCAGTGGAGCCCCCGGAGAGCAACAGAGCAAAGGTCAGTCCTGAGGTCTTCTCCCCTATCTCCACTCCAAATCTGGTTTCTGATGAGAGATTTCTGCTTGTGATTATTTTTGCTTGTGTTGGAGTATTCCAGGAATGCAGGCAAAGGCACACAAGCTTACAGCTCAATGAGTATTCCCAACCTGAACATACCCAGATCAGGAAGCATGTCACCAGCACCCCAGAAGCCTGCCGTGGAGTAGAAACTAATACTCCCTTGCTGTATAAGTTTCTTAGGGCTGCCATAACAAATTAGTACAAACTGGGTGGCTGAAAACAATAGAAATTTATTTTCCCGCAGTTCTCGAGGTCAGAAGTCCAAAATCAAGGTGTCGACAGGGTTGGTTCCTTCTTGGGGGCTCAGAGGGAGAAACTGTTCCCTGCTCTCTTCTGGCTTCTGGTGGTTGCCACCAGCCCTGGGCATTCCTTGGCTTGTAGGTGCAGCACTCCAACCTCCACGTCCATCTCCACATCTCAGTCTCTCCTGGGTGTCTGTGTCTTCACATGATTTTCTTAGAAGGACACCAGTCATTGGATTAATTCCACCCCAATCCAACGTGGCCTCAGCTTAACTAATAACATCTGCAAAGACCCTATTTCCAAATAAGGTCACATTCTGAGGTTCCAGATGGACATGAGTTTTTAGAGGGACACTATTCAACCAACTACACCCCCCTTCCAGGCTCTCTATGATCCTCATTTCTGTCAGCCAGTTTTACCTGGTTTTGGTAAACCATAGAGTATGTAGGTTTTTGTGTCTGGCTTTTGTTCATCTCTCCGACATCTTCGTCAACATTATGTCTGTAATCCACCCAGGTTGCTGCCTGCAGCTTTAAGTTGTCCTTTTTCATTGCTGTGTAGTACTCCATTGTTGATGGACATTTGGATAGTTTCCAGTTTTATGCTGTTAGGAATAGTGCTCTTTGAATATCCAGTACATCTTTTTGGTGATTGGTGCTTATTTAACAGTTAGCAAATAATGAAAATCAGGACTATGAGGACTTTCTGAGACCACTGTCCAACTCTATGATTTCAGATGGGGAAACTGAGCCCAAGTCTGCCCATCGAGTTGGTGGGAGAGTGGGGCCTGGAATTCCACGCCGGTCATCCTATACCAGGGACCCCTCCACTCTACCATGCCACCTCCATTGTCGGTCTTCTCTTCATGGTCTTGAGAATCACCTCAGGCCTCACGCTCTCACCTGATGCCTTCTGTCTCCCCAGCAGCTCCTGCAGCCCTTCCACTCCAGCTACCACCGACTATGGACCTTGCATCCAGGGAGCCAGCCCACTCAGACCTCTTGGACGCTGCCTCCTGCTCCTCCTCTGCTTCCTCCTGTCCACCCTGTTCCCCAGAGCCTGGGAGAGAGGCGCCGGGGCCTGAGCCAGCGGCGGCTACTGTGGGAAGCAGTGTGAGTGAGGAAGGCAAGGTCAAGAAGGGGCGCCTCTACTGCCCTACATGTAAGGTGACTGTGAACTCGGCCTCCCAGCTGCAGGCTCACAACACAGGTCAGTGCCCCCCAGGAGCTGGAGTCCAGGGGAGGCGAGGGGCAGGGAGGCTGTGCCTCACCAGATGCAGGCAGGCTTGAGTTCCCGGGCACTCTGCTCAAGGGTGATGGTGACGGAAGTTGTGCTCAGCTACTGTCGCACAGGCATTTCTAGGTCCTCCCGCTAGTCTCTGGGAAGGGAGAACTGGGAAGAGAAGCCTGAGGCAGCAAGAAGGTCACCGAATCTCTGAAGGATCACTCCAGAGAAGACAGGAGACACGTGCTCCATCTCTCCTTAGATCAGAACCAGAAGGAAAGGGATTGAGATCAGAGCGAAAGGGAGGCCGACAGTTGTACTGCAAGGTCTTCCTTTGGGGAGGGTGGCACGAGTGAGAGAAGCTGGGAGAAGTTTCATGTGGCTGGAGGGCAGTGTGTGTGCAGAGCAGCCTCGAGCCTGCTTTTGTGCGGATAGACTTATTTATGTATGTATTTATTTTTTATTTCCCTCAAATTTCAAGATTTTATTTATTTATTTATTTTCCTTTTTGTCTTTTTTGTGACCGGCAACGGGATCGCAACCCTCAGTGTTGCTCCCGCGCCTCGCTCAGCCAGTGAGCGGGAACCGGTCTGTATGTGGGATCCGAACCCTCGGCGGGAGCACCACCGCGCTCCCAAGCGCCGCACTGTACCGAGTGTGCCACCGGGCCGGCCCAAGATTTTATTTTTTTACATTTATTTTATTTATCAATATACAATGTAGTTGATTTTCATGACCCTTTGCCAATTCCTCCTTTTCCACCCTTCCTTTCCCTCCTCCCCCCCATCAACATCATATCTGTTCACTTGTCTTAACAAGTTCAAGGAATTGTGATTGTTGGGTGTTTTCTCCCCCTGCTCACCGTTTATTTGTGTATTTATTTGTTTTTATTAGCACCAACAAATATGTGAGAACATGCGATATTTCTCTTTCTGCGCCTGGCTTATTTCACTTTATATAATTTTGTGTAAGTCCATCCATGTTGCTACAAATGATAGTATTTCATTTTTTTTAACAGCAGAGTCGTATTTCATTGTTTAGATATACCATAGTTTCCTTACCCACTCATCCAATGGTGGACATTTGGGCTGGTTCCAACTCTTGGCTATTGTAAATAGGGCTGCAATAAACATGGGAGTACAGGTGTCCCTTCGACATGACGATTTCCATTCGTCTGGGTATATACCCAGCAGTGGAATAGCTGGATCATATGGTAGATCCTGATAGACTTCGTACTCTCCCTCCAGGAGCCAAGCATCGGTGGATGGTGGAAGGCCAGCGAGGGGCTCCTCGAAGGGGCCGGGGCCGTCCAGTGCCCCGGGGAGGAGCTGGACACAAGGCCAAGAGAGTGACAGGGGCCCGGAGTGGCCACCAGGGGCTCAGCCCTCCTTTCCACTGTGCTCTCTGTCAGCTCCAGGTCAATTCGGAGACACAACTCAAGCAGGTGGGAACAGTGAGACCAGGATCAGGGTTGGAGCCTAGGTGGGGGCGAGGAGAACAGGGGGAGCCTGAAGAGAGAAGGTAGGCAGAGCAGGGCAGGGCAGGACATGAGCACTGGAGGAAAAGGAGTGAGGCAGCTGGACTGTGGGCTCCTTGAGGGCAAAGGCCAAGTCTTACCTCCCTCTCCAGGGCCCACCCCAGGATGAGGACCCAACGAATGTGCACTGAATGTGAGTTGTGGGTGGAGGAAGGGCAAGATAGTCAAGGATGATAGAGTAGTTTCAGGGTCCTTGGGCTTCCTCATCTTATTCCCAGTCTGTCTGTCTGTCCATTAGCACATGAGCAGCAGGAGACACAAAGACCGCCTGGCTGGGAAGCCCCCCAAGCCCTCCAGCCAGCAAAGCAAGCTGCAGAAGCACGCAGCGCTGGCTGTGAGTATCCTCAAGGTATCTGTCTCTAGGCAAAAGAGTGGGGACCTGGATCAGGAGGGGAGGGTGGGCCAGGGGGGCCAGCTGGCAGGATGGGGGTCAGGAAGGAGGCCACCCTACTCTGAGGCTGCCTGGGCAGGGAAAGAGCTGGGGTTGGGTTGTTGGCTGTCTTGGGATCTGCCCAGAGGAATTCCCGGGGAGGTGGGCTGGGGTAGTAATCTTAGGGGCAAGAGGGGTGGGCCTGCGTCTCCTAGAGACCATCTCTACCCCCACCCCCACATATCCTCCACCTCCTCCCATCCTGAGATTCTCCTCCCTCTGGACAGGAAGACAGGTGGTGGAGAAAGCCCCTTGGAATGAACGGGGGTGGGAAGGGAGGAGGAGACAGTTCTGGAACTCTAAAAGGCACGTTTTTCCTGCAGCAAAAACCTCGAGGATGGGGCCCAGGAAGGGGGTGGGATTTTCTGGGGTAGGGACAGTGATCATTCCTCTCTCTTTTCTTTATAGTCTAAACTGGCTTTGCAGAGGGAACTCACCAAGACGCTGGCAGCCCGCTTCCTGCCCAGCCCGCTCCCCACCGCAGCTGCTGCCATGTGTGCCCTGCCAGGGCCCCTGGCCCTCCAGCCTGCCCCTACCACAGCCACTACCCTCTTCCCAGCCCCCATCCTGGGCCCAGCTCTGTTCCGCACCCCAGGGGGAGCCGTCCGCCCTGCCACGGGACCCATCGTCTTTGCCCACTATTAGCCTTCATGGGGAGGCCAGGGCTGATTTCCCAACAGCCACTCACCACCTCCTACTGTCCCCAAGATCCCACAGGGGCTGCCTTTTACAGCTTAGGGGTTCTTGCTCAATCTAGGAACTGCGGGGCTAGTTTTAAGGACAACTGCCCTTCATTACCTATCTGGACTGGGGATTAAACCAGTACACCCCGCCCCCCCAACCCCCATCCAAGAATCACCCCCACCCTTCTTTCCTGGAGGCTAGTCCATGGCTAGTCCTAGGCTCCCCGGCCTCTGCGAGCCTGATAAATCCCAAAGGTCTAAGCAGAATCCCAGCCCCAGCCATGTGGTGTTCTCATTTTCCAAACTCAAGTCCTACACCCACATGGCCAGACTCTAGGATTAATCTTAGCTCCACAAGCCAGCCTCTCCTAGCCTGGGGACAAATATATGGTCCCAGTTCCCATGCTTTGGGGCCTCACTGGATTCTTTGGAGATGGGGTCCAAACTGGAGTGGGTTCAAGGCTCAGGGCAAGGTGACCATGGGGGTGTGGCAGAGGACTGTGGAAAAAGAGGGACCCAAGAGTCCCTTGATCACACAGTACAATGGTGGGTGGGGCCAAAGGGGTAGGGGAGCTGGGCTGGAAGCTTTTGGGGCATCATATGCTCCAATAGGACCGAGCTAAGATGGGGCAGGTGAGGCTCAGTTTTAGTAGAGGCAGTGACCCATCCCACAAAAGCTCTCCCTTCTTAGCCTTTCATTCATTCCTCCTGAACCCCAGCTCATGCTGGGGGTGGGGGACCACTGGGTCTCCCTCAGACTATGTACTCTGCTAACAGCAAATCCCCCCAGGGCTCCCAAAGGAAGAGTTTTCCCCTACAGCTCCTCACCCCAAACTGGTTCCTAGCACCAAATTCAGCTTTCCCTCCTCCAGCCTCCCCACTGTGAAGCTGTGTTGAGGTACAGTCTGATACACACTCAAGACCCATTTTCATGCTGCCAAAGTCAATGTCACAAAATTCATCCCACCCCAGCACTGCCCCCCTCACCCTATAATATGGGACTTTGCCAGTATCCACCTGCATCTTTTTTTTAAAAAAGATATTTCCAATGGGAAAACAAGACATGGGGGGAGGGGAGGGAAACGTTTTGATAGCGGTTGTGGTTTTATTGTGTCCAATCCATCAATAAATGAACTTTAAGCCCGAGCCTGAATACACCCTAACTCTACTTGCCCAGCCCTGGGCACCTACTCCTCCTCACCCCTCCTGTTTGGGGGAGAAGGGGCATGTATTGGAGATTGCCTGGCTAGTGTCTCACCTATGCTAGGTGTGCACGTTAGAAGCACAAGCGGGCACAGGAAGTTGTGGGTTATAAGCTCACTTACAGCACGTCTGAGTGTGTAACCACCCTCCTGAGCCCTGACAGAAGCTTCTGAGAAGCTGCTACTGGTTTGCCTTGTTCGGTTTAGGCATCTGAGGTAAGAAGGGCTAGAGGAGCACCTTGTCCAGCCTTCAACATGGCAGCAGGAATATAAATACAGGTAACTTATAAATAGAAGTCCAGCCATCAGCTGAAAACCACTATAGGAAGGGATGAAGACCAGCCCCTGCAGGACAGAGCTGCTACTCTGGCAACTGAGAGTGGACAGGGCACTCCTGCCCCCTGGTGGTTAGAGGGAGAGATGCGGTCCAGCCTCCAGGGCTGCTAGGCTTAGCACCTTGAAGAGGGAGAAGCAAGGGCTACAGTCACATGGCCTGAAGCCTCAGGCTTTATAAAATCATAGAGCTGGAAAGGATCTAGGAGACCATTTAAGCAACCCCCATCACCTTACAGATAAGGAAACTGACACCCAGAGGGGGAAAGGCCTTGCTGGGTCACAAAGTCAGCTGATGACAGCCCAGTCATCGTTGCATTCCACCTCAACCAATGAGGCCCATCTGCTCCCTGAGCAGGAAGAGGAAGCAAAACAATTGGGGGAGAAGAATTAAAACAGAAAATTACACTCCCAGGAAGCCAGCTTCTTCCAGCCTATGAAAAGACAGGAGAAAGGTCAGGGTGAGGGATGAGGAGACCCCTAACACCAGCATGCACACACATACATGTGTGTGCACATCTACACAATACACAACACCTGGACAGGCTGGTGCTGTGTGTGTGTGTGTGTGTGTGTGTGTTTTGCTGGCAGGAGGCAAAGAAGGGTGGGACCCCTATAATGGGAACCAGACCCTAGACTGGGTACTTCTGCATGGTAGCTTTGCTTCCTGTCCAGAGCAGATGGAAGGGACTCTGACCTGCGACTACCCCGGCTGACAGTGGAGCAGATATCATGAAAGCTGGGGAGGGGGAGAGGAGTAGGGTGGGCGGGTTGAGGGGAGAAGGGGGCGCTAACCAAGATTATTTGCACTTCCCAGAGTTGAGAGGGAGTAAAAGGGGCCTGGGCCTGGCCTAGTGGG